AACTGGAGTGCAATGCAACTGTCCGCACTGGTGTGAAGTCTGCCATTGGAGACCATATAACCTACTATACTTGCATTTTTGATGCAGAATAAAAATAAAACAAAGACACACTGGACTGCATGTGGTGTGCACCGGCCCTAAAAAAAAAAAAAAAAAAAATCAATCTACGCTGGCATTGCCACAGTTGTAGAGGCTATTACACATCTGGTAGGAATGCAAACCCATCCACGATTTCTGGGATCTAATTTCACAGCTTTAAACCATCCTTTGCGGATGGGACAGTTCCCAATACTCCCCATGTAACCCTACTCTCTGTACTACCTGGATCTTTCAAATGCATAAAAAAAAAAGGTCTTCTTAGGCATTGTTTGACAACAGCCAGACTAGTCATTCTATGCGACTGGCGGATGGCCCATGTACTATCCCAGTGTAGGGGGTTACAGAGACAGCTCACATTGAGAGGATCCCTTCAAGAATTGGATACATAACACCACCAAACATGGCCCTCTTGGAAGATGTACAAGGAGTCCTCTGAGTTGCAAGACCTTCTCTTGGGGCAGCAGCAGGCTCTGTGTACCTACCACTGAGTGACGTTTATCCTAGTTGCCCAATCATGGCTATGCTCTTACTTTGTTTTTCTCCCTCCCTTTCTTTTTGTCCTTGCCCCCTCCTCTGTGTGTGACGGTGCAAGTATCTGTTTATTTCCTGTTTTTATGTGTATGTTTTTGAATCCCCTTTATGGTACCGGTACTTTATTGAAAAGTTTTTACCGGTTTTTAACAGAAACCATAAACTCAGATTGAACATAAAGATAAATTAGAAACCTCTATTGAAGAATGTATTAACTCAAAAAAAGTACATTCTATTGCTTTCAGCCACCTCCAAATCTTCAAACTATTTTTACTTTCCCTGCTGTTAGAGGGTGGCTACATTCATTGTCCATGATCCCACTGTATGTAGGAATGTAGCCACCCTCATTTGCTGGTTCCGGAGATGGATTACAGACTTTGGACTATGGCATGTGTAGTGCATATAGAGCAATGTACATAACTGCAACCAACATCACTGCTCCTTCCAAACGGAAGTAAGGGGGGAAAAAAATGGAGAGGCTTGGGAGCTCACAGAGGATGTTACAGGGAGGCAGAAAAACACCGTAACAAACAATTTCATGAAAATAGATTACAGGGTCATTAAGAAGTGCATGTGTATGGATTTTTGGAGAATAAAGATACCATTTAGGGTCACTTTTTGGTTTCTTGATTTTTTCTGGTCCCACATTGCTGCAGCTTCTTCTGCTTCCACTACTCATCTGCCAAAGAATGTTGAGGGATCTTTTATATAATACTGTCCGACATAACACTCAGCACACTAAACAGGAGACAGAATAGGAGGCCAAGCCTTGGCAGGGATACCACTGCCAAATATTATCAGATCTTTTACCCTTGAGTCAAGCTGAAAAGTCAGACTACATTGAAATTGAAGAGTTTCCCAGTAATATGCGGCAGAAATGAAGTCATTTTGCCCTTTTCTAAATGTCTGCATTGCTGCACATGTGGGGGGGGGGGGGGGGGCCCCTTAGCAGTAACTGGTAACACAGTTAAACACATGTAACTTGCTGCACTGCGTTCGAGCACAGCATACCATACGGCCCTCAGATTTTTTATTTTTTTTTCCCATTAAAGTCCAACAAAACTCATGGAACATGTGACAATACACAAGAAAGCACTATATGCAACGTGAAAGCCTCAGGGACAAGTGTAAATCTTTCATGGCCAAGCCTACATATTATAATTATTTCAGTTCTAGCATTGGCCTGAATAGGACTCGGCCTCTATAAATTGAGCTGATGCATATGGAAAACACACAAAAGAGAAGGAAAAAAGAAAAAAAAAAAAGGATCTTTATTGGAACACATCTGAACATCAGATATACTCTGGTCAGCTGGGTGGAATTTGTGCACCTCTTGTGGGACACTGAAACCCAAAAAGGACATGATCAGGGCCGGGGGCACGTCTTATTGAAGTGGTAACAGGAGCAGCGACAGTAATTTTTAAATCCCTGCAAGCAGCAAACCCGTTTATTTATCAGAAGTGAAGGCTCCCTGATGAAACTGAACCAAGAGCCCCGACAAGCCTACTTCCAGGGTCCTGAAAGCCGGTGTATGGTACACAAGACACAGAGCAGTATAGTGCTGTGTATGTGTTCTCCTGGGGGCCCCGGCTAAGCTCTAGCAGACCCTCCCAGCATCCCCCCACTCCTGATAAATACACAGAAAAAAATACCTTAAAAAACAAGCAAAATGTTCTACCCAAACCCCAGGACTTGGGATGGCTGAGAGTGGACACAGTCAGTAAATGTTGCATTTAACTCAGAACCTGGAAGCGGCTCAAGTGCTAATATGAGGTACCCAAATGGAACTTTAAAATCGTTTGGTGACAACAAAAGATGTTATAAAGGAGGTATGAAAAAAAAAAAAAGAAAAAAAGGATTCCCTTGAGCGCCCCCCTGCCCCTTTTCCACATCCCACATGAGGAAGAGAGGTGTCCACTGCTCCTGTTCTGCTTCTTCAAGAATCGACACTTTCAGATGGCCTGTAATACACAAAAGAATACAAGTTACTGGGATGTGCAGGGTGACTGTGCTACTGGTTTCTGTGGAAGCACTCAGCATACACTTCTGTCTGCTCTACAAATGCATTAGGCCAAAGAACAGACAACCCCTGCAAAATGATGAAACAAAACAAGCCAGCCTCTTCCATACATGCATTCTAGCAGGTTCCCTTTTTAGTGGATTTGTACTATCATTTTATGGGAAAAGTAACAGATGGAGGGAGATTTACTAAAACTGGTGCATACAGAATCTGGTTCAGCCACTGTGCATAGTAACCAATCAGCTTCCAGGTTTTATTGCCTAAGCTTAATTGAACAAGTTGATGTTCGAAGCTGAATGGTTACTATGCACAGCTGCACCAGATTCTGCGAGTACCAGTTTTAGTTTTTAGGAATATTGGGTTCTTCAGGGGCCTTTAAGGGGTCACCCGACAGCTACTGACATCCCTCAGCTAAACCCACCAGCTACGTTCCTGGCTAGCTGTACTCATCTCAGCAATACATACTCCCCAATCTCAATGATCAGCTTGCTCATGGCTCTCTGTACACAACACACATTATTACACAACAAAGAGAAATACAGATGTGATGGTTTAAAGAACACATCCTGTGTTGCATAAAAAGCAGAAGTGGCAGTATCCTTCAAAGGGAGCGAGACATGTTTGACGCCTCCATCATTATGCTATGCTTTTAGCAATACATGACAAGACTGTTGTGAAATGTCCTTCCGCTACTTCCTACAACCCAAAATACAAGATCATCCTGTCCTGCTAGAGATCCCCATTTCTCAGCATCAAAATAGAACAACCACCCCTGCTAGTCTGGGGTTGTGATCTTGCTCGGTAATGGCGTTCTCAGACCCCTGCTCTTGGTCTTATCTTTTTCCTTTTGTACTCCTCTTTCCTTTTCTGTTTATTTTTGGTGTGGCGGTGGATAGCTGCCTTTAGTTTGAGTTACTGTCGGTGCTATACTAATGTTTTTGTCGTATGTGTCATTGATAGCCCCTGCGTGGGCACACCTTTTGCTCTGTTTTTTGTAATTTTTTTTATGTGCAATTGATAGCCCCCGTGTCGGCGAGTTTTGTTGCTCCTGTCTTAAACTGTTTATAAATTAATAAAAAAAAAACATTGAAATACAAAATACAACAACCGCATACTAAACTAAACGGAGCTTCACAGCCCACCAAAAACGTAGAGTTCAGTATGTGATGGGGGTCTGGGGGGGATGACAGGGGGAGATTACATTTATTGTCCCTTGAGAACTGATATTTAAGGGTATGATCATCTTGTATCAATACAAAAATGGAACCCATGACAAAGCTGTTCACTTTAAGGTCATTGCAAATGGGGCCAGGCATTCGTAGCTTGAGAAACGTTGCTGTATACTTTATATTGATGATCCAAAGAGTATTCTGCAGACTGGCTGAATGAGTGCATTATTAGAGAAAATGAGACCTCCAGGTACCAGCCCATGCCTTCTCACTTTCCACCAATGCTTTTACCAGCAGTCTAGTATGTGAAATCATTTCGGGTGGCCATAGAATCTGACAGAACAATTCCAAGCTTGATTTGGACAACATACATCAACTGAGACATGTCTGCTGATTTAAGGCTAGCCATGCACCCATAGACAGGCTTAATGAGATAAAGTCAATTAGGGTGTATGGAGAGATCTCCACTGCCAGCTATTGTTCTCTGACAGCTGCAACATCGGAGGCTGCATAAATATGTCTCCAAATATCACCCAAACCGTACTCTCCGCTCTTCGCAAAAAAACCTCCTAACTCTGTAGCTCCCTTGTCTCCTCCTCCCATGCTCGTCTCCAGGACTTCTCCAGAGCTTCCCCCATGCTCTGGAACTCTCTACCCCAATTTATCAGACTATCGCCTACTCTGCTCACTTTTAGGCGATCTCTGAAAAAACCTCTCTCTTCAGGGAAGCCTATCCTGCCCACACCTAATAATGGAATCTTCTATTCCTCCTACCAGTCCAACCCCCACAGTTACTACCTTTTGTACCACTAGCCCCTCCCTCTTAGATTGTAAGCTCCAAGGAGTAGGGCCCTCCTAACCCTCTTGTATTGAACTGTATTATCTCCCGTTACAATGTACAGCGCTGAGCAAACTGTTGGTGCTATATAAATCCTGTATAATAATAAATTCCCAAACAGTGGCTGCTTCAGACAGGATACAGAACACAGTCACTGTTCGGCTAATAGTCTTCCACCTGGCTCCACCTAATTTTAAAGTGACTTTAATGAGGAGGGTGGTGCTTGAAGGGGCACCCACGACAAGAATTTTGGCCCAATTCAGTAGGAATAGCCTAAAATTCAGGTCATGCAAGGTCAAAGTAACCCTCTGTTAATCAGCAATCAATCTTCCCCATCACTCAC